CGTCAGATGGGGCTCGTCCGATGTGTGAAGAGGGGAACACCAGCCAGCCCGGTGCTACGGCGACACAAGCACACAGCGAGAGCGTATGTGTGAGATAGCGACTGCCCGATATAGCAGCACGAGGCGGGAATCTCGTTTGCGTCGCCGGGGGGGTCCCGGGTGGTTGGTGGGAACGAGAGGCGGGAAGAAAAAGAATGGGGATCACGTTCAACGCAACCGTATTCGCGAGAGCGGCCCGGCGAACTGGCGCGATGTATGCATGTACGTATGTATGGGATGTGTGATGTGAAGGCAGGCAGGCAGATGGGCGGCATTAGTAGCACTACGACTACTTGTACAAGTGCCGCCGCGCTCGTATTTGAAGATCTGCCTACTGCATCCGGGCCGACGGCGAGACACTCAACCCCCAGTCAGACTCACTACCAACATCTGGGGGGACGAGCGAGTATGTCTCGTACGAGGGCGACGAGCAACGGAAACATCCATCGCGCATCCGTCGTCCAGCCCACCGCGTTTGCATGTGGCACTGAGACAGGGAGCGAAAGGGACACATTTTGACGAACTCGACAAAAAACTCGACAAGGATGGGAAGGGAGGGAGGGCCAAGGACAGGGGGGGTTTGGACCAGCCGGCGCAATGACGACAGAACGCATTCCTCGTCCTCGTAGGCCCCCTTCAGCCCTAACTCCTGCAGAACGAAGAACGAAGTAAAAGTAATAATGGGCAGGCATCCATCGGACCCAGCACGTTAAACCGTACAAAGCCCATCCCGTGGGAGGGCTAGCTAGCTAGTCATTGTGACCGGGATGCCGATGCCAGACGCCAAACGCCAAGGCACCTCCCGGCGCGCCGGCAACCGACCGAACCGAACCGAACGCACGACCTTTGTGGGGCGGGCGGGCGGCGGGACGACACAAGTTGACAGGGCTTGGAAGGGAAGGTTTTCGTTTCGGCTTACAGGGGGGGCTGGCGGACTGGCAGCTGTTCGACGTGTGTACGAAGTCCATACATGGCAGGGCAGGGCAGTGCTTCGCGATACGAGCTGCCGCCACTGCTCGCTCGCTACGCGTTCCCCATCATGTACCACCGCCCGTGTAAGAGCGCTCGCAGCCCAGGGACGAGGTAAGTAGTAGTAATACCCCTGGGTGGCTGGGCAGCCACGGCGCAGCTGAGGCGTCTTGCTACACCCCCCAGCCCGGCGGCTGTGTTCTTTGTTTCCCAACTCAACTCCTCCCCAAGGACTTTTAGAGTTTTCGACGGGCTCGCGTCAGGGGTGATGGAGGGACGGACATCTTTGCCCTGTTGTGCGGGCTGCGTCCGTTTGCGGAAAAGTCGAGGGGCCACAACCTAGGCGGTGATGATGCCGGTGGATCGTGACGGGCATGCAAGAAAAAGAACGGGTTGATGAATGGATGGATCGTGGCACCACGGCATGGGCAATAAGCTCCCCCCCATCCTTGCCCAGCGCAGCCGGTCGTCCTTTGTTTCCATCGACCTGTGCCAAGCCCACATCTCATTCTCTGTCTCTCCCGCGGTGCCCACCCTATCGTCATCGCGTCTTGGCTCCGTGTCTCCCCTAGTCTCCTGCGTCGCGCATCATGCACCTCACACATGCATGCATACATGAGCATCTAGTTATCCATACATGCACCTACGCATGTCACTCATTGATAATATAATAGCCTGCCAGCCTGCCAGCCTGCCAGCCTGCCATCCTATCATGCTGCCGCTTCCTCACGCAGGACATTGTTTCTCCTCACAGCCGACAATGTTCCAGGCACCAAAGGGGGAAAGGACAATCAATGCCTGTGCCGAACACTGACTGCCAGCTGCCATCCACCTTCGGCGTTGTCTGCAAGGGAGAGGAGGGAGGGGGGAGAAGTGGACACCAGCAGCAACGCAGCTAGCTAGCTAACACGACGTATCACTCATCCTTCAGCAGCGGGAATCTTCAGGCGTTGCCAGGGGCGCACGCCCACGCGGGACAGGCATGGAATGGAATGGTGCGCCCTCGTTCGAAACGAACGAACGACCAGCCGCCAAGACATCTTCAGCACGTGTACGGAGTAGCCCAGCCCCCCCTTGCTGCGGTTCGCGTGCCGCCGCGACTCGACTATGGTGCGTCCAGAACGCGGCCCATCAATCAATCTCAATCCAATTCAATTCAATTCATGGCCTCTAGATTCCATACCTCGACGCCGACGCCGCCCAGCACCACGCGCCGTTGTCGCTCGCGCTCGCTGCCGCTGCCGCTGCCGCTGCCGCTGCCCCTGGAGATGGAGACGCACGCCACGTCTCCTGGATCCGCGACGCCGCTGAACACGGAGCCCACGAGCTCGACCCTGCGCTCGTCGTCGCCCGCGGCGCTGATCCTCCATGCCCGGACGCGCTGATCGTTGCTCACGCTCACGGCCGTGATGCCGTCTTCGTCGCCTTCGTCGCCCGCAAGCACGACGCCGTTGATTGCTGCGGCGTGTGCGCGCCGTACGATCCCTCGCCCTCCTATCCTAAACCCATTCTCGCCATCCTTTCTCAAGACTGTGGCGAGGCCAAGTGCGTTGTCGTCTCCGCCAGTGACGATAGTAAATGCATCCTCCCCTCGCCTCACCATGTCCAGGCTCTTGATGCTGCTCTGATGCACCTGCGCCGCCTCTGCAAGGGCGTACGTCCTGGTGCTGCTGCCCCCCGCGTCGGCCGCATCCCTCCACAGGGCGAGGTGCCCGTCCGTGGATGCGGTCATGATCCAGCCGTTGCCCCCGCAAACGCCAAGATGCCGTGCCTGAGTGAGACAGGCCCCCGTGTAGAACCCCTGCGCGTAGGGCTCAAACCTGCCCCCCGGCCAGTAGCGGTATGTCTTGACCGCGGAATTGGAAAAGGCCAGCGTGACCAGCATGCCGTCCCCAGAATCGCATCTGCAAACGTCAAAGTCCATGATGCGCAAGTCGCCGACCGGGCTCTTGTCTGAAAACACGCCCTCGCACATGATCGCCAGCCCGCGGTACGCGGAATCCAAGACACGTATCCTCCAGGCGAAGAACTCTTCGTTTCCGGCGCTGCTGAACAGATACTCGTCGTCCAAGAACTGAAGCCGCTGGATACCGGTGACATGCGACTTGATGGACGCCAGGCAACGCATCTCCCTCTGCCCGGGCCGTGAACTTTCGCAATACTCCCATATGCGAATCGACGTGTCCTCCGCGCCGGACGCAAGATACCGCCCACGAGAGCTCAGGGCCCGTATCTCGCGTCCGTGAGTCCCGTTCCTGAGCGTACAATGTGGCGTCCGTGCCTGCGAATAGACGGACAGCTTCGAGGTCCTAGTAAAGGCAAAGTGATACCGCCCGGGATCCGAGGCACTGCTCCAAAGTCGAAAGGTGCGGTGCGCGCCTCCGCACTCGACCGTCGCGACCTCTTCCCTCCGTGTCTCGTTCCAAATGACAAAGTCTTTGCTGCGGAAGCCGTACAGGACCAGCTCCGGATCCTGGACATCGTGAGTGAACCAAGCGCCTTCTATCATGGGCCCAAACGGCGGCGCTGTCTCGTGCAGGAGATGAATTTGCGGCGATTGTCCTTCTTGCTCGAGTTCGTAGATGCGATACTTGCCGTCACGACTCGTCGCAAGGAAGTATTTCGAAGGAGTTGAAAGGTCGGTTTTGGAAGGAAGTGCAACGATTGAGGTGATGGCATCGCGGCTTCGCGTCGCGAGATCGTAGACTGGACTCCAGGCGTCCCCTTGTTTCCGGAGCAGCGATATCCAGCCATGGCGAGATCCCATGATGAGAAGCTCGCCGATCTTTGCTGCAGATGTGGCCACAAACCTGCTATCCAGGCCTTTGGTTTGGCAGGAACTTGAAGCCACGCCGTTGAAGTCGATAGTAATGTAACAGGACTCCGAGGTTCCGTGCAAGTGTACGAGTATCTCCACAGGGGAGTCGCTGTCCCTTGCTGAAGCCCCTTTCGAGAGGACACTAACATCGATGACTCTGCCGGGAACTCGAGTCACACGAGTGATTTGCTCCGCCCCCCTAACGTAGAAAATTGTGCCGTCAGTCGTGCCAAGTATAGCAGCTCCGTCATGCACCACGCGGAAGACGTATGTGAGCTTCAACTCGGCAGTAAGCTCATCGCTCGCCGTGACCTCTTGCCAAGCTATACCGTCGCCCAAAGCTCCGATGAAGAGGCGCCCCAAGTTGGTGATGGCGAGAATCTGGTCCTCTTTTACAAAGTCGTAGCGGCTGATCATTTCGCGGCCAGCAGCCGGGCGGGCTTGTGCTGAGTCGAGGACGTCCTGAATGTCGACTGTGATAACGCCGCGAGGCGAAGTCTGCGTTGTCGATTGTCCTGGGCGTGGTTCTGTGATCAAGCCAATCTTGCTGTCTCCGCCCCCCGTTGCGATGAGTGTCGCCTCGTCGCGGTACAGCACGGCACCCGCCCAGAGGTGCTTGCCGTTGTGCAGCGAGTACGTCTGTTTGTGGACCAACTTGCCCGACAGCTTCTTCCCCTGATCCGCCCCAGAGTCCAGTTCGAGTTGCCATCTCTGAGCCGTGGAATCTTCACCAAACGAGTACACGGGAATATTTGAGCCGAAGGTGTCGCAGGCGTCTGATAGTCCAAACTTGACTCCCCAAATACGCGAGACGTGTCCCATAGCCGTTGCGACAGGCCGCACCGCATCTTCGCCAGTCGCCTGAGCGTCGTAATCCGGCGTCGGCCTGAAACCCGTCTCGGTAACCTCGCTAGGCCCCGCGTCTGACGGAGTCGCCTGCTCTCCCGTCGCAACGTCCCAGATACGAATGGTTCTGTCGTCGCTGCAGCTCGCCAGCAGTCGTACTGACTCTCCATCAGGTCTTGTAATCTCAGGAGATATGTCCACGCCATAGATGGACCCTTCGTGGCCCGTCAGGGTACACATCATGTCGTGCCTCCCACGGCTCATTTCGTCGCTGGCGAAGTGATACTTCCAGACCACGACGTCGCCAAACACGGTGCCAGCTGCGACGAGCAGGGTGTCTCGCGACAGCCATGCGAGACGGCCGTTGTAGAGCATCGGCCGTGATGGAGACGTCAGGGCGCCGAATGTGACGGTCCCCGACGCGTCTATCCGGGCAGGGACTACTTCATTGTGCGCGGTAATGACGACGGCGAGAGACGAGTCCCACGGGGAGGCGGCAGCATCGTAGATCCAGTCTGGGGCGGTCCCCCTGGCTACGACATCGACCGTCTTGGCCTCCGTGTCGAGCGCGGACACGTCCAGCACCGCGACATCCGACGAGCCCCAGACGATGACCCGCGGAGTCTCGCCATTGCGCGGCTCTTGCACCCGTATGCCGTGCAGGGGCTGGTCGTAAAAGACGGCCTCGCTCCAGCAAAGCGAATGCTGCTCGGTTGCGGGTTCCACAGCATACACGGTCAGTCGCGTGTCCTCCCCTGCCAAGAGGTAGACGTTGCCTAAGCGAGATGTATAGAAGTCCAAAGCTGTAATCGGAAGCTGGGAGAACTCGCGCCGGAGCCTCACACGGCTCTCACTCTGGAACGTTGTGGTCAGTACAGGCCCGTCTGCGTTGAGAAGACTGTTCGCTCACGTGATGCATCTTGCTCATGGCCGCTCGATTGCCGAGCTGGAAATGCCTATTGGCGGTGAGAGGCCGTCGATGTGACCGCCATGGAAGTGAACGGCCTGGGCAGTGCTTGCAGCGTGGATGGGAGAGCGTGTGATGTCGTGTGTAGGGTGACCCACGATTTACGACGGCCAAAATTTTCGTGGGTCTCTCACCTGCGCACGACTTCCTCCCGCCAGACCGATCGCCAACTCAGGCGCTTTTACTTTACTGCCCACCTTACACGACCAAGTAGACATTCACAACAACGCAACAGTAGTTGAAATCGAGAATTTGGTTCGTTGACTCGTGTCATGCATCTGACGATGCTCTATGTACAGATTTGATCGTAACCTGGTATCTAAAAAAGCCAGCCTCCCATTCTAGTGAGCATGGCTCCCTGATGCCATATCCACCAAGTAGTGATAGAAAACGCCGGTAATGCAAAATCGTCATGAGCCAACCCAGGTCTCCTTTCTTTCTCTAGAGCTTCTTGAAAGAGAAGCAGGCAAAAAAGCAACAAAATCGCTCACAGGTGCCAATCAAACGCCCGGCTTATGCGCGGTGCGAGTAAGGCTCGTACGCCAGATCCGAGCGGCCGTTGCCGCCGGGGTAGCGCGGAGGCTGCGACGAGTAGTTGTGGCCAAACTGCTGGCTCTGCTGGTTGGGGTTGTAGTAGCCGCCGCTCATCTCGTGGTCGCTGGTCAGGGGCGCATAGCCGCGAGTGGGCAGCAGCTTCTCGCCGTCGTCGTGCTTGCTGCCGCGCTTGGCGCTGCGGCTGCGGTGCTCGGGCTTGCAGCAGCAGATGGTGAAGAGCCAGAAGAAGGCGGCGCCGATGGCAAAGGCGGTGGCGATCCAGACGGCGGCGAGGAAGCGCGTGCCGACGGTGCCCTTGACGCCGTAGAACTTGGCGGTGCTCTCGACCGTGCCCACGACGATGGTGGCCATGGCGGTGGCGAGGCCGGCGGCGGCTCCGACGAGGACGGCCGTGATCGAGGCGACGAGCCACGTCAGGCACGAAACGACGCGGGAGCAGTTGGAGAAGATGCCGACAAAGAGCTCGACGCCGAGGGCGACGAGGGCGATGATAAAGGCCACCTCGGTCCACTTGGTGACGGTGCGGAACACCTTGAGAGCATCCTTGACCTCGGTGGGGAGATTGATCTTGACGCCGGCGGCAGAGCCAAAGTCCTCGATCCAGGTCGTGTTCAGCTCATGCGAAGCCCAGTCGAAGCGGCCCTTGATGCAGTCACGCTTGCCATCCTTGTCGGTGCTGCAGTAGCCCCAGAGCGAGACGTCGTAGACCTGATCCAGGCCGAGGTTGCCGGCGGTGATGTTGCTGGTCTGTGCGTCGGCGCGGCCGCCCAGTTTGTTGGCGATGTTGTCGAAGTTGGCGGGGTTTATGGACAGGTCGGAGACGTCGACGGAGAAGACGAAGAGGTTGTTGTTGTGGACGACGCCGGAGAGGGTGGCGACGAGGAGGGAGATGATGGCGCCGATGGTGAGGATGAGGGGGAGGGCGACGCAGAAGAAGCGGCCGACGCCCATGGTTGCTGCGTGTGTCCGTCGGGGGACGTGGACAGTCGGGTATCAAAGGTCGTCGCTGTTGGTCGCCGTTGCGTCCGGATATAAGAGGCTGTTGATGGCGATGACGATGAGGACCGACGAGTGAGAGCGGTAGAAAAACGAGGGTCAGACGTAAAACGACGGAATGTACGCTACGTTCGTGACAGAGGACGATGCAGAGAGAGATGCAAGAATGGGCTCGTCCACGTCGGCCGGGCGCCGCGTTGTTTTTATGCAGCGTGCGACCGACGGAGAGGCGGAGCTGGCGTGCGTGGGAGCTGATCAATTGTGGACGAGGTGCGCCGCCGTGTTTGACGTCGAGTGGCGCAGCCTCTGCCACTGCGAGGTTGGGCGCAGCGCCAGGGGGGGACCGTTTCGGCAGCGGCAATTGGCTGGCTCGGGGGAATTTTGGGGGACGACGACCCTGGAGGTGGTGGGTTGCCGTCCAAGCCTTCGTCATCCTCCGGGGCTGCTTCGCCCCTCCCACTCACCTGGCACTCACTCCATCATGCTGGGCGGCGCGGGCAGCCCTGGAGCGCTGGGCGCTGGTGGTCCGCTGCGCTGGCTGGTTGGCCTGTGCGGAGGCGTTTCTGCCCTGGCGTTAGGCGTCGTCCGAGGGCTGAGTGCGACATGGGAGCGGGCATTTCTCGCAGCCGATAGTGAGATGATGAGACCCCTTCCCTTGCGGGCCGTCAGCCTGGCGTGCTTCCCCTTTGGGGCAAAAATGCGCGACCCTTTCGTTGGAACTATCAGATGCGGGACGGAATCCTCACTCGCGATTGACAGACACCCAGACGAGTATTGCGACTGTCGATGTGATTGACCGACCCTTGCACACGTTGGATTCATGTTGACCTTGCCTGCATGGCAACCCGCCCAGAGACGAGACCAACCAACCTCCCCAGCCAAGGCACTCGCTCATCCGTCGTCCATCCCACTCTCTGATCCTGCTCCGTACTGCTGCATCCTTGCGCATGATGACAAAGATGATCCAACCGGTCCCAGTTCCCTCGCCCCAAAAACCACCTCGCGACACCGCCAAGCCTGCCGCTGAACCCACCGCTGACGACGCCTCGAAAGGGATGCGCCGCAACGGCTGGGCAGAGATCAGCCCCGATCTGCAAAACACGAAAAGGAAGCCCGGTTTCGCCGCAGCAACGACGCGGGCAGGCGACTGTTGTCGCACCTGCTGGCTGGCTGCCTCACCGCATCGTGTGTTTTGCGCGTTGCCACCGCGACGATGTCCTCCCATGCATTGATTGATTCAATCTCCCCGCGACGTCGGCCCGGCATCATCCAGTCGGTGTGCTCGAATACAGTAATACAGCACAGTAAGGTATTGTACAGTACCGGCATGAGTAGCAAGAAATGTCCCGTGTGCGATTCCCATGTCTGCTACTGGTACCAAGGCAAAGCCTCGCAGCCCTCTGCCGCACAGCCTCCACTAGTTTGGCTTCCCGTTGGGCGGGCTCACTATATTTAGCACCCCCATTGCCACCCGTCGGGTCCCTGGGGTGGATGATGGCTTGGATGTATGAGGTGCCAACGTGTTTGGGCCAGCCTTTTCGGCCAGCCACCGGGACGCAACATCCTGTGTGCGCGTCTCTTTGTCCGCAGCCTGGACCGGCTCATGCTGCGCCGGCTCGGAACAGACTCGGCACACCGCGCAAGAGGCCCGGGGGCGCCTCCCGAACGCTCGTCCGGATCCGCCATCGGCCGACTGCGCACCTGGAATCGAGCCCCCGAGCTGCCTCTGGCCGTCCACGTGGCGCTCCGACCCGGCACTTGCGAACTCTAGCGCGTGTCGCTGACGAAACTAACTGCACAACTGGAGCCGCCCACGTCCGCGAATCTCGTACGGGCTGCGCCGGCAGACCTGTCACCTCGTCCACCAGCCCGACCGTTCGGCAGCATGCGTCGTGTCCGGGTACGTCGGCTCCGAGCATCGCCGTGTTGGAGCCACCAGGCGCTGCTGTGCGTTTGAGTGACAATGCGACAGGTTTCCCTCTTCGGCGTCGTCAACGACAGTTGTCATGTGACGAGGCATGGTGCCGGGACGTTGTCGTCTCGCCCGCCGCCACGCCCAACTGCAGGTGCGACTACGTACTCCCGTTACTCGTAGTCAACAAAGGGGGCTGCGCGGCTCGTGCAACGGGCGCGCAGCGCAGTGATCAGTGACCAGCCAAGCCACCGCTGGCTTTGTGCTCCTTTCCACCATGCCACCCTTGCCCCCCCGGCAAGCGACACGGGTCGCCGTCGCATGCGCGCAAGGCAGTTGGCTCTCGCGCGTTGCACGTTCCACAGCGCCTGTGAAACCTGCGAGGGACATGACCATTACCTCATAATGTCTCTGCCGCGGTGCCGGCCAGCCGGGTGGGCACGCGGGGCGCAGGGCCTTTGACTGAGACGCTCCCTCGACATCGACACGACGTCAGGCGGCGCGGCTGTCGTGGAGGTGGCGGAGGGTCGACGGCCTGGCCCGGGAGCGCCCTGCCAGCCAGGGCGTCCGACAAAGGGCACACACAGCCGGCCGCGACCAGACGACGCAGCATGCCATCCATGGCCGCAGCTGGCCTTTGTTGGGCCAGTCGAGCTCGCAGGAACCTGTGGGGCGTTGCGCGAGGGCGATATTCGTCCTTGTTGGTCACCGAACGAGCAGCCACGGGTCTGTCATCCTGTCACGTCGTGGATAGGCCGCGTCGCCAACGTATCGAGCACCATGTTAAGGCCCAATGCTCCCGTTGCGGCCTGATGCCACCCCCGCTGTTCGTCGTCTAATTTCCGGGCCTTGGAGCTGGAGTGCGGGAGCGGCAAGTGCGTGGTCAAGGCGGACTGGCTGTTTTTGATGGCCGGAAAATGCGAATCAAAATATCCAACGTCCACCTCGCCCGGCATCAGCTGCGGGTGGTGGGCGATCCTTGCATTCGACAGACGCGGGGCAGATTAGCAGGTCGCAGCGGGCAAGCAACTCCGAGGAGCACGGCACGGCGCGGACGGCCTTCCTCGTTGGCAACGGATGCGCCGCTGGGCGGTGGCATCGATGGACACTGAAGATACAAGGGCACGTTGTGGCGGGCGTTGAAGCTCGACGGTTTCCGACCGCGCGGACAGGAGGGAGGAAATTGTGGAGGCCGTGGTGCCGGTGAAACCTTAATTGCCCTGTGGCCTGTCGGCGGGCTGGCCAGCGAGAGCCTAACTGAAGGGACGCCTTTATCCGCCCCATGCCATCCGTGCCATGCCAGGAGCATGAGGGAGGCGGCGGCGGCGGATGGGGCCCATGCAGCCAGCAACCCTGGCCTCCTGGCTCCCTGGGGTGCCGCCCGGATCGGCAGCTGGCGCCGTCGTCGAGCTGCGCGACGCAACGTGGACAGAAGCCGGAGGGGACGATGGCGCGCCGGGCTGGAGGGCTGAGGCAACCTCACAGCGGAGATGCAGCAGCACTGCAGCGGCATTGCAGCAGCACCTGGCTCGACTCCATACACCGGTGCACGCAGGTGGGGGTGACTTTGATCAAATCATCCATGGATGCTCCCCGATGGAGGGGCTCGATGAGAGGGGCCTCTCCGGGGTGTCTGCTGGATGCGCTCCATGCCATCGCGCTGTGACACCTGAGGCGGACGGCACAGCACCATCCGAGGCTACCACGGGGTTTCGAGCTGCGCATCCACATCGGTTTCGCCCCCGTCACGACATCCGATATCTCATGAGCGTATAAGCATTGTAATTATTATTATCCTCGCCGGGGCAGATTCTTTCTTTCATTGTCTGCCCGCCCGCCTCTTTGTCCACCTGCGCGCCCGGCCGCCGACCGTTGTTGGCCTCGTCCTCTTTTCTTTTGCGCGCCCCGGTGCTGCAGTTGGTCCCCCCCGGGGCCCGGTGTGCGCTGCTGCTGCCCCAGGTGCTGCTCAGCCCCCCCGCAAGCGTCGCCGCAGGCCACCCCGTCCGGCGCTGATTGGCGGCGCGCCGCCGGTTTTGAGCAGCGCTAACGCGCCGCGACAAGTGATAGCCTCTGCTGGGCGTCGCCACAGTCGACACTCGGGCCTGTGAGCCGTCGCGAGATCGCGCCCTGTATTACCTGCTGGCTCTGTACCTAGAGAGCGTCAGAGGCACGACGCGCGAAAGCTTGCGGCAATCAGCATCAGCATCACCGTCAACGTCAAACGTCAAACGTCCTCGTCACCACCGGTACACACGCCGCCGTTGGATCCAGACGAGACAAGACAGAGAGACAAGCTCTTTTGAGACACGCAGGAACCTGCCACCCCCCCGATCCTTTGCTGCCGCCCGCGGGCACAGGCCACCACCTGTCCCAGACATCTTGGCAAACCGCCGCCGGATCTGCAGGTACTTGGCTGCCATCCATCCATCCGTCCCTCCATCCATCTGCGCTGCGTTGCGCTGCGCGCTCCGCTGCCTAGGTTTGGTTCTTCCCGATTCCAAACCTGCCCGCCGCTTCCTCAACCTTCTTTCCCCTCGCACCACCCGCCCACGGCTTGCTTCGACTCTTTCGTCGTCTTCAACCTCCGCCAGCGTCTGACGCCCGCCGCCGTTGCCCAACTTGTTCGTGCCCCGGCCCGTCCAGCTCCTCAACGAGCGAGCGCACCTCGATTTTAGCCCCGTATCGCCGAAGCCCGCGCCCATTAGCTGGTCGCCGCCTCCGCCGCCGCTGCTCCCGCCCTCCGCTGCCGCCGACTCGGAGTCATCAAAGCCGCGACGCCCCCACGACGTCATCACCAACCGCGCCGCTTTGTTCCCTCGCGCGGCCTTTTTCGCCGTCTCTCAAATCGCGCTGCGATCCTTGCATCCCTCTCTAACAGGCGCCCGCCCTAGATAACAACGACGGCCGCCATCAAGATTCAGCGCTCCTCTTTCTTTCTCGTCCTCGGCCGTCTCTTCCATCCTCCCTAGAACGGCCTCTTGCCACGAGCGACTCCCCCCAAACGAAAACCGTTTTATTCTTCCCACCACCGCGACGGTCAAAGTCCAACCGGTGCGCACATTTGGCAGACGACTCGCCGCCGGCCAAAGCCAGGCATACAGGGCCCTCTACCCCTCCCGCACGCCACCCACGCGACATTTGAGACATCACCCGCCGCCGCCGCCTAGGTATTCAGGCGAAATCGACCCTCCCCCCTCCGGGCCTCCTCCAAACTTGCGATGGGCAATCAGGCCTCCAAGGAAGGAGGTGGCTCCTCGTCCAAGGGTTCCGGCGCCGCCCCCTCGGGCGACGCCTCGCTCCAGTCGTATCCCTCCTTCAGCAGGTCTGACACCAAGGACTCGTCGAGGTCCTTCCGCTCCCTGCGATCTAAGATACCCGGCTCCAGCGGCAAGACCGACAGCCCCCGGAACTCGGCCCTCCTCTCCAACGGCGACTCGGCCGGCGACAGCAAGGTCGCCGACGGCGCGTCCGTACGATCCGGGCGCAGCGGTCGTTCCAGCGCCTCTAGGACCAGCCGCAGCGAGATCCCGCCACTCCGGCACAATTCTACCGACCTGTCCAACACCGACTCTGCCATCTTCGAGGACCAGCCCCCACCCTCGCCAGTATCTGCGAGCGCCCTCAAAGGCGGTAATCACGATGTGAGCGCGGCCCAGGCCTCCGGCGAGGTCGACCACGTGTCGGACCAGCCGCCGTCGGCCAACGCGAGCCTCACCACCCACATGCAAGCGCCCGGGCAGCCTATTCTCGTCAAGCGAGACCAGACGACCAACACCATTCAGGAGAGCCCTTCCATGGACTCGCCCGCCAGGACCGACTCGAACGGCAACGTCGGCATGTCCGAGATCAAAGACATTGACCTCGACGACTTCATAAAGCGCCTGCTCGACGCGGGATATGCTGGCAAGGTAACCAAGGGCGTGTGCCTCAAAAATGCCGAGATTGTCGCCATCTGCCAGCGCGCCCGCGAGGTCTTCCTGTCGCAGCCCGCCCTCCTCGAGCTTGATGCGCCTGTCAAGATTGTCGGCGACGTTCACGGACAGTATACTGACCTGATTCGCATGTTCGAGATGTGCGGATTTCCGCCCACGTCCAACTACCTCTTCCTCGGCGACTACGTCGACCGAGGGAAGCAGTCTCTCGAGACCATTTTGCTGCTCCTGTGCTACAAGATCAAGTTTCCCGAGAACTTTTTCCTCCTCCGCGGAAACCACGAATGCGCCAACGTCACGCGTGTGTACGGCTTCTACGATGAGTGCAAGCGGAGGTGCAACGTCAAGATCTGGAAAACGTTTATTGACTGCTTTAATACGCTCCCCATCGCAGCCATTGTCGCCGGCAAGATCTTTTGCGTCCACGGCGGCCTTTCACCGGCACTCAGCCACATGGACGATATTCGCAACATCGCTCGGCCGACGGACGTCCCCGACTACGGGTTGCTCAACGACTTGCTCTGGTCGGATCCAGCAGACATGGAACAAGACTGGGAGGCGAACGAGCGGGGCGTCAGCTACTGCTTCGGCAAACGCGTCATCACCGATTTCCTAGCCGTACACGACTTTGATCTCATCTGTCGAGCGCACATGGTTGTCGAAGACGGCTACGAGTTTTTCAACGATCGTGTTCTCGTCACTGTCTTTAGCGCACCAAACGTAAGTAATCAGTCCCAACGAGGTGAGGATCATTTTGCTAACTGGCCCAAGTATTGCGGAGAATTCGATAACTGGGGGGCTGTCATGTCCGTGTCAGCCGAGCTTCTGTGCAGCTTTGAGTTGCTCAAGCCTCTCGACTCGAGTGCCCTCAAGAGCCACATTAAGAAGGGGCGCAACAAGCGCCAGCAGATGCTCAACAGTCCTGTAAGTTTTACGTCACCACCGATCAGACTGTAGCTAACAAGTCCTAGCCGGCGAGCGTCCAACCCCAGAGCGTCTAGTTTCCACGCCCACACAGCGCATGTCGTGTCCGAGGCACACGGCGCACATTCGGGAGGCCCAAGCCCGAGCCGAACGACGATCACGCCGGAGGCGCTACGTCTCATGTCACGTCTTGCCTATTCGGTCCCAAGACACCAGAACCGAGATTCGACCTGGGAGCCTGGCCGTCGACGGAGTAACAACCGTATGGCGCGCTCGGCTCCAACAGGGTGGAAGGTGTGACGTGAAAGTGCACCTAGGTCTGAAATGGCCGAGCTCCGCGAAGCATTCTCAAGGACCTTCTTTTTGACACCTAAACACCCTCGTTGGTGGCAACGCCGAATATGGGGCATGCGGTGAATGCATGCAAATGGTATTGGAGGATTGATGGTGACGCTCAGCGTTTTCTAGATATATGTTTGGTTGACGGACCAGCCGACATGGGCATCGTTGTACAGTACGCGGCTGAGCCGACAATGAGAATGAGCTGTCGGCAGAGGTTATGACTGAATAGTCGCCTGCCACTGGGGTGTTTGGAGTAGGATTTCTTCAGAAATATTGTACCGTTTCTTCGGCCATGAGTTTGCAACAAAGTGACTGATGCAGTGTGAATTGCACGCTGTGGTGAAGTGTGTAGATCGTTGGCTGGCTTGGCAAGGTGAACGCGGCTTAGTCATCGGGCTGCGTCGAGAAATTTGGTCCAGATGCTCGAGCTTCCGGCCTTCGATCCCGTCAACGACAACAACGCAACCATGAATCGACAGGCCATTCGCTCGGTCTGCAGCCGGGCGAGGCCGGAGCTCGAGAGGAGCGGCCATGCGCTGCGAAACTACTTTTCCACGTCTCAATGGCTCGCCGCGGACGACGCAACGCCCAACACCCCGAAGCCAGCGCCTACCCTTCGACAGCGAACACGAGCCGCGACGAGCGAGATCAACTCTCTCGTGAAGAACAAGGGCCCTTCCACACCCGGCCAGCGGCCTCAGCAGGGCGCCGGGCCCAGATCCAGCCAGCCCAAGGTCCTTGACGTGAGGAGTCTGCCGAGAGGGGTATTCCGTGGACGAGGTGGCCTTCGAGGCCGGGGCGGTGCCACCGCCGGTCAGGGAAATGCCGCCCAGCGGGCTCCCTCGCCCGCAGGAGGCAACCGGTTCTCGAGACCGAGCCGGGGCTCAGCTACGCGCGGCGGGCGCGGTGGACGAGGCGGACGGGGGGGTGCCCGGGGAGGCAAGCAGCGGGCCGACCGAGACGACGCGGACAAGGACGCCAAGAAGGGCGGGCGGCGACAGGACCCCTTCGAGACGATGGACCCCGCGGAGCAGGAGTTTGACAACGCCATGCGGTTCGGCACCAAGACGCAGTACACGCCCTCGCTGACGCTCGAGTCACTCGCCGCCTTCATGCCGGCCAACGCTTCCACCGCCCAGGGCCGCACCGCCACGGTGGTGCAGAACCTCAGCGCGCTGGGCACCGCGGACCCCGTCGGCGCACCGCAGGACCTGCAGGCCAAGAGCTACGCGCAGGACCTCGAGGACGAGGGCGTGCGGTTCTTTGCCGACGCCAAGGCGCGCGACGCCGCCGAGGCGTACCTCCAGAAGAAGCGACAGGACGAGGCCGCGGGCAAAGATGGCGAAGAGGCTGCGGCGAGCACGGAGCGCATCATCCAGGATGCCGAGGAGGCCATCCGCAAGGTTATCCTCGATAAGGCGGTGGCGGGCCAGCACGAGAAGCCTCAGTTTGCGGCGGATCCCGTGGGTGTGGCCCGCTCGTGGCACCTCCGCGCGGAGACGTACGCGCAAAAGGACATTGACAGCTTCGAGAAGAAGCTCAAGTCGTTGGTTGGGGGAGGCGCCGCGGCGGGAGGAAAGGCCGGAAAGAAGGGCAAGGCTCAAGCCAAGGCGTAGGGCATGTACAATCAGGGAGCGGGCGAGGGCGTAACACCATCATCTGTAATATAGTACCTTTCAATCGCGGAAATCTGTATCAAAAGATCTATCCCCGATCTGTTGCCCGTATCGTACAAGGCGCACCCATCTTAGTGCCTCTCCAGCTGCTTAATCGTCTGCGCCTCCTCTGCGTCAATCTCCTTCATCTTCTTGTCCTGCACCTTCTGCAGCTCCTTCTCGGCGCGCTTCATCACGTCGGGCAGCACCGCGCCCGTGCGCTTCCCCTCCTTGAGCGCCTTGTCGTGGCGCGTGCGCGCCTGGCGCACCCTCTCGCGCCACCCCTGCGTCGCCTCCCTGACGCGGCGCACCAGCTCGTCGCGGCGCTCGAGCTCCACGCGCAGCAGCAGCTCCAGGTCGTTGTCCTCGGCGCGCTGCGGCTGCTGGTTGAACTCGCGCGACGCCTGCACCGCCGACATGATGGGCTTGATGTACGCGCGGTCGTTGACGAGCAGCGAGATGGTGCGCCCGGAGCGGGGCACCACCTGCGCGAGCTCCCGCAGCGGGAACGTCTCGTGGTGCTGCCCGCTGGCGCTGGCGCTGGCGGACTCGGTCGATTTGACCGTCACGGGTAGCGCGCCGAGCGTGGACGGGTTGAAGCGCCCGCCGTGTAGGACGGACTGCAGCTGCGCCTTGAAGTGCGCGTCGATGGGGCCGTACGCGGCGATGAGGCTGCTGAAGTCGAGGGGGTCTTCGGCAGCGTCTGCGCCGCCCGCGGATGACGACGAATGCGAGGAAGACGACGCCAGCTGGGAGGAGGCCTTGTCGGCGCGCGAGGGGCTATTGGCCGCGGGGGCAATCTTGCGCTTCTTCTGGAGAGCGGAGGATGAGGAGAACGGTCGGGCAGAGCAAGCGCAGGGCGCTACAAGTTTCAGCGAGAAGGGCTGTCGGGTCGCTGGTCGGGGGAGGCTCGTCGTTGACCTGCCGGAAGGTGCTGTTAGAATGCGAGCCATTGAACGGGCGTCGAGGGGTGTGAACCTTGATGATGATGATGATGATGAGCTCAAGAGGCGAGCGCCCTGCCTCGCGAGGCTGGTCGCACGGGGGAGCGCCATGGTTGTTGCGATGTCCGGGCTTGACGACGGTGCGTGGACTGGATGGATGGACGTTTTGCTGCTGAATTGCTGCCTTGGCCCGGACAACGGGCAAGCTTCAACGGCCTGGCCGATAAGATAAGCGAGCTCGACCAAAAAAGTCGTTTCGAACCACCGCGATCCGCACTGCCTCGCTCTTTAATCTACTCTGAGCTCGAAAGAGCACAGTTTCGTTGATACACTCTTTTTCATACAATCCGTTGCTTCTGGCTACCAGGCGGCGGTCGTCATGCCTCGAGCCTGCGATCCTCGAAATGGAGGAGCGATGGAAAGACGTTCCTCAGCATGGTCTCAGTAAAGCTCGAATGCAGCCACACGTATCGGCCCAGGAGGCCTGTCGCTGGCGCACAAAAACCCCGAAAAGACGGCAGTGGGCTCTGCTGTGTATGGGAAGCACGCTTGCTCATCTTCAACTCGCGTCTGGAGCCCCAGCCACGGCATGGGGCAGCTGTCAGTCGGGAGAGACGACAGGGCAGAGGAGACGCCGGGCCTGTCCAACATGTATAGTGGCCAATAAGCCAGAATTTCCCAAAATAGAATGTCTGTATAGTGTAGTGGTTTCATCACGTTTCGCTTACATAAGCATACGCTTCATTTTCCGAAAAGGTCCCAGGTTCGAACCCTGGTACAGACAAGCTGTTTGGATTTATTTTTTGCGGTCTCGAAAGGGCTATCGGGCACTGTCTTTTTGCGTCGGGGTCCGATATCCCGCCTGGATGCATTGTAGCTGGACAAGGAGGGCGAACACTGCTGCCCGTTTTATCCTACGTGCCAAGCAGCATCCATGCCTCGCTCAGCTTGTTCGACGCACTGAGAATGCGCATGGAGAGGATATTAGCCGCGGTCGGGGTCAGGCACTTGTCGAGACAATGCGGTGCCTCGGCAGCCTTGATTATGGAGGAGAGAAGCATGGTATCGAAAGTCTACGCTCCATTCCACCCGAGGTTTTAATGTTGCAAGGACGTTCCGCAGAGACTGCAGCTGGTCACTAGCAGGCGCTGTAAGTCGCCGTGGGCCCTTATCTCACGACTTGCTGGACCAGGTGCATCATTGGATCCAGAATTCCACATTTGTTGATATCGTTCTCACTTGGTGCATCCGGAGGTACGCCGGTCATGGACCACAATCAGTTTCAACCAAGGATCAATGGGGAATGACAGGCGACTTGCTCTCCACGCCGTTGGGCCTGGCACACTGATGGTCTCGCAATGGCGACCCGCGCCGCAAGAAGGCACTCCTGTAGCACATCGTATACATCCCGTCAAGCACGCTGAGTGAGACGCCCCCGGCGCCGGCGTGCCGTGTCTACAGACGGAACATGTCGTGATCCAATGCGATGCCGTCGCTGGCGTTGGAAGTGGACTCGAGGCTCCGATGCTGCCCGGCCAGCAGCCGGGGCGGTACGTAACAGCATCGTCCAGCGCCCTCGAGGCCCCCGCCACCGCCGGCGTCCGTGGACCGCGACGAGCGCCGACCTCGGGTTGCCGTGGGTGCTAGCGCCTCCGATTCGCTGGAGAGGACGCCTGCCGAGGGCTTCGGGGCGCCCTCTAGCCCCTCCTCCCCCGCAAACAGGGGGGCGCTTCGGGGGGGCAGGGGGCAGTTCCTTAGGTGGCTTGGGGGGGCAGACCATCGGCACCCGGACCTCGAGGTCCTGGATCCGTACAGGTAGGCTGCCCCTCCGGGAGATGCGGGCAGGCGCAACCCCGACGGCCGATTGGGGTAACTAACAGGTAAGACCAGGAAATTGTTGGAGCTCCCCTCGCTTTAGCTGCTAAATGGAGAACGTCACACACTTCGTTCCTGTGCCGTCATAACTTACCAATCGCTCTCCTCGCCAACCCCGCGACCGCACAGACTTGACTGCAAGAGTGCTGCCGCCGCTGCTACGTGTCGGTGCTCCTGTCCGAATCCGAGTTCCGCGGTTCTTTGATTTCTTGCAAACACCTCGGTTCCGAGTCGCGTCGAGTCGCCACGACCGCCCGCCGCTACTTACATGGCGCTCCTGCAGAGGGTGGGAGCTTCGTCACTGCGCTTCGCTCCCAGCGTTTCGTTGATGATGGCAAGAAGCGCGTCGACTATGGCGCCCAAGGTACGATTCGCGCGCCCTCAACTGTCGTCCTACCCGGGCGCTGACATCTCACAGCTCAGAGACCCGTCGCTGCTCAAGCACGACGTGTGCTACATCAATGGCGAGTGGAAGCCTGCCAGGTCCGGCAAGACCTTCGAGGTCAATGGTCAGTCTCTCTCCTCATTCACTTCTCCCCAAACTTGATGGTCCTCATTGTGGCTCACGCGATGCGCCGCGCTCTCCACAGACCCGTCATCCGGTGAGCTCGTCGGCACCTGCGCCGACTGCGACGTCGAGGACACCAAGTCGGCCATCCGCGCCGCCGCCGACGCCTTCAAGACGTTCCGCACCACCACCGGCCGCGAGCGCGCAAAGATGTTGCGCAAGTGGTACGACCTCATGGTCGAGAACTCGGAGGACATCGCCAAGCTCATCACCTGGGAGAACGGCAAGCCCTTTGCCGACGCCAAGGGCGAGTCGGCGTACGCGGCCAACTTCTTCGAGTGGTTCAGCGAGGAGGCGCCCCGGAGCTACGGCGACACGATCCCCGCCACCGTCCCCGGCAACAGAGTATGGACTCTCAAGGAGCCCGTCGGCGTCTGCGGTCTCATCACCCCGTGAGTGTTACTACCTGCATCGAGCAGTCTGATCCCATACTGACATGCGCAGGTGGAACTTCCCCGCTGCCATGATCACGAGAAAGGCTGGCGCTGCTCTGGCGGCCGGCTGCACCGTCGTCTGCAAGGCCCCCGGCGAGACGCCCTTCACTGCCCTTGCGCTCGCCGAGCTCGCCCACCGCGCGGGCATCCCCAAAGGTGTCGTCAACATCGTCACCACCCTGTCCAACACCCCGGCCATCGGCGAGGCCCTCACGACCGACCCCGCCGTCAAGAAGGTTTCCTTCACCGGCTCGACCGCGGTCGGCAAGCTTCTCATGAAGCAGTCTTCGAGCACACTCAAGAAGCTCTCCATGGAGCTCGGCGGCAACGCACCCTTCATCGTATTCGACGATGCCGACATCGACCTTGCCGTCGCGGGCGCCATCGCCTCCAAGTTCCGCTCCTCGGGCCAGACCTGCGTCTGCGCCAACCGCATCTACGTGCAGGCCGGCATCTACGATGAGTTTGTGCGCAAGTTCGCCGAGAAGGTTCAGGGCTTCAAGGTCGGCCACGGATTCTCCGACGGCGTCACCCACGGCCCTCTCATCCACGACCGCGCCGTGTCCAAGGTCGAGGCCCACGTCAAGGATGCCGAGAGCAAGGGCGGAAAGCTCGTCATCGGTGGCCAGCGGATGCCCGACCTGGGCTCCAACTTCTACCAGCCCACCGTCATCCGCGACGCCACTCCCGAGATGGCGATTGCCTCGGAGGAGACGTTTGGCCCCGTGGCCGCGCTCTTCCCCTTTAAGACCGAGAAGGAGGTTGTCGACATGGCGAACAATGCCGAGGTCGGCCTGGCGGGATACTTCTTCTCCCGCGACCTGCAGCGGGTGCATCGCGTCGCGGAAGCGCTCGAGGTCGGCATGGTGGGCATCAACACGGGCATCATCTCCGACCCCGCGGCGCCGTTTGGAGGTGTCAAGGAGAGTGGCTTCGGCCGCGAGGGGTCCAAGTACGGTATCGCTGACTACCAGATCACCAAGATGATTACGTACGGAGGCATGGGACAGCCGCTCCAGAGCTGAGGGGCTCACATTTTGTCAGGAGCATGTATCGGTTGTAGGTGTAGGGAGGGCTAAAATGATGAACTAATTGACAAGTCACCGTCGCGTCAACTTTTGCTTCAATGTGAGATTTTTGTTGCGCAGTCTGGGTGACTGAATTGATCACCAGACTTAAACGTAGCTGAGTATGTCGTGGGTTTTGTCAAAGCCGACCCTTTTACATTTTACAACGTGTATTGTAGTACGTAAAAGGAAAAGGGGACGAGGTCACCTCGTCGGTATTATATAGACCGTCGCCCCGAGGCCAGCCTCTACGTCGTATCCCAGACACTACTCAGGCTGCCCTGCCGTCGACGGCGTTTTGCATCATGTTATCTTCATGTGCGTAAGTCGCCTTGTCTCACGGCGCACTCGCATTCCGTGCTGCCCGGCACCGTAACTCATCATCGATTTCATTCTCCTTCATCGCTTCGCCGGCGGCGCTCTTCACGCGTACCTGCGCACGTCATGCTGCTGACGCAACGGCAGCTGGCGGTCGAGCGTGTGGAACGCCTGCGTCCTGGGCGTGAAGGGCGAGGCGTACGCGCTGGCGGGGGACTTCATGCCGTACATTTCCCAGTTGCCTCTCTCCTTGAAGTCCGCGGACGTGGCGGAGGCCTGGTCCTCGTCGTCTTCGACGATGTCGTTGACCTTGTTGGGCCACATGGCGTGTAGGGCGAAACCAAGGTTGATCAGGTAAAGGACACTAAGCGCAGCCCATGTCAGCGATGAAGTGATATGGAGGGGAGATTCTCGGACGGGGACTCACAGCATGACCAGGGTGACGCCGAGCGAGGCCTGCGCAATCTGGCACGCACGGTACTTGCCGTACGGCTTGGCGAGGCCGCAGCCCTTGCGAAAGTACCAGGCCGCCGGAGCAGGGTACCGCGAGTCGGCATAGTCGGGGCCGACCTGGCCGTAGACGCTGACGCTGTAGAGCGCAATGAGCGCCACGTTGACGACGACGGCGACGACAGGGTAATAGAGCTTCATGATGTTGGCGATGAGCTTGGCGAGGAGGAAGAAGAGCGAGACGACGGAGATGGCGACATTGAAGTTGGTCAACCTACAAGATGGGAACGTCGGTTAGCTGGATGTTTCCTCTCAGGGCGTGCCTGCGTGAGTGGGCGGAACGGTGAAACGCACATGAGCGACCATATGAGCGGAATCTTGGGCAGCGGGCGGTGGTTGGCGTATGCGTAGAGAATCATGTTAGGGTTCGAGTTGAGCTTATTGTCGAAACCAATCTGCCACATGTCGGTGCGGTACATGTCGGGCTGGGAGATGCCAAAGATGACGAGCAGGGCGATGAGGACCGCCAACTCGGGGGCCATGGCCCAGGCGACGAAGCGCTTGTGCACGGGAGGCCAATCCCGGGGGATGAGCCGGTAGGTCTTGTTCTTGCCGAGGAGGACCTTCATTGTGACGGCTTAGATCTTTCGATGGAGTCCAAGATGATACGGTGCTTCGTCGTCGGTTTTTGGCCTCGGCCTCCTGCCTGCCTGCAGGGTCCGTGGCTTGTCCGTGGGGAGAAGCTAGCTACAGCTACTGCAGCGGCAGTGGTGCGGGGGACCGCATCCGCAGACGGGCGATGGTGTTTTGTGCGTGCGTCCCTCTCTCTTTCTCGCCCTCGCCGCGGTTCGTCTAGTTGATGTCGTGGTTCGTCTGGCGGTGGCCCGTCTCGTCGTCGTGGTCAGTCAAGAAACGGTTGACAGGGAGAGAGAGGCCGTCTTTGGTGGCCCGAGCTCGAGGGGTCGACCTCGGGGGCCGGCGGGGGTTTAAAGGCCTCCCCCAAGGGTCGCTGGGTCGCCGTGGCCGCAACCGCCCAGTCCAACGCGCAGCCATTTCGCATTGGGAGAGAGGCGGCGGGCGGGCGGTGGTTGCGCTGCACTGCTGCTTGTGGCCTGCATCGCATTGGACGCTGGCGGCGGCAGTCTGTGATAGGACTCCAAGGAGCCCCCGCGCTGCACGGGCGTCACAGCGCCGACGGCCAATGGGAGCGGCCACGGCGGCGCTGGTTAAGCGCCCGGCACGGGAGGCGGCGGCGCCATTGGCCGGCCCGCGTCTGCTGGGTTGGAGGGGGCGAGCCAATTGGGCGCGGGCAGCTGCCGCTCGTGGTGACCTCGACTTCGCTGGGCTTGCCCGGCTGGAACCTGCGGGTGTTGCACGGCGGCGTCGTCGGAGAATGTAGCGTGTTGGGGCCCTTTTCTCGCTCTCTTCGGGGTCGGACGTCGGGTCGGACAGGGGTGTTGAAGACGCGAGACATCGCCAAATGGCTCGATATCCATGCCACTCACTCACTGCCTCGTGCAACCCAACGTGCCCGGGAGCGCTCTCAGGGCTGTCCCCTAGGGTGGTCGGCGGCGCCAACAGGTGTTCGCCCTTTGTGAAGCATGGTGTTGTTCCTGCGCATTGGCTAGTCCGGCAGTCCAAGGTACCGTCCGTCGTTGGGTCGAATCCGAGAAGATGGAGGTGGTGATGCACGAAATGAGCCAGCCCGGCTCGTCTTCCGAAAGTAGGCGGGCCATATGGTCGACCCACGGTGGAGATGCTTGCTTCTGGGCGGAGGAGAGAGTCCGCGACATGGGGTTCTTATTGTTCAAGATTTTGACAGCAGTGTTTCAGCCCTATTTCCGCCATCGTCGGACGTTGTGGAAGCTGGTCCGCGACTCCGCAAGTCCGGTATAAGCTGAAACCGAGCCTTGATTGAGAGCAGCCGGCCTTGTCCTCTTCGTTCTGTGCGGCAGACTGGGCCTCGAGCTGCGTTTAGACGCTCCAAGCCCGCCTGGGCGGGTTCATCCAGCAAAAGGCGTGGCGCCCGTACGATTATCGACCGGGTGTGTAGGTATGCGCACTCGGCAGCCCGGCGCTTCCCGTCAACAAGACAGCGTGACACCCGCCACACGTCGCCGCGGCAAGCCTGCTGTCAACAGTGTATGCCTGTGCGTGATCAGCCACCGATGCCCGTCCAGCATGGCGATGCTGTGGCGCACCCACGCGTCAAGGTCATCGATGCTCCGCCAAAACTTACACGGAACTCGTAGTCGGGCATGCGGCGCGACGCATGCGCATCCACCGCAGGTGCACCGCCCATCAGGACGCTAGCGCACGCTCGCCGTGTCTCTACGGGCAATTTCCCTGCGGTCTCGACCGTTCGACGGGTGCCAGCAGGGGCATTCGGAGGCCCTGTGGGGGGCGGCTCTGGCGGGACGGCGCTGACACCATCGGTGATTCGGCTGGCGATCTGGATATCCAGTGGCTGGTGCCCCTCGGGGGCCAGTGTCACGCTCGTCCTGGGCGGGTGCCGCCCGGGGCTCGTGAACGGGGAAGAAAATCTGTTCGCGAGACCCGGCGGCAGTGGGTAGGCATCGGGGAACCAAGTATATGGTACTCCGTAGTGTAAATCGTCGCCTTCGCGAATCTGCTCCAGCCTGTGTCTGCAGCAACGATGGCGGCGTGCTCGCGGGCGGGCAGGGTCTGTCTGGCCTGCTGGCTGCTGGTGCGGGCCGGCATGTCGATCTCTGTTGAACCCCAGGGGACTTCTCACCACCACGACGGTGTCGTCGCGGGCTGGCAGCGAACGTCGAGCACTGTCGTCCAGGGTCGTAAATATTCGTACGAAAGTAATGCGTCGTCCAGGTTGTCGGCGTTGGCTGTCAGGTCCGGGCTCTGTTGGCCTGTCCCCTTCAACAGCGTGCGGCGGCGCGGACAGCACTGTATCTCCCCGGCTCGGCAAGTGGAAGGAGCGACGGGGTGCGCCCAACACCAGCCGGCCCTCTCCATCCTCTCCATCCACCCATCCTGTAACTTTCGCAGTCGTCGCGTCCGCACGACGGTTTTTGTAGCCAGCGGTCACCTGCACCGCTCATCACCAGGGCGGTCTGCCGTCACGCCCCAAGCCTGCCCTGCTCCGTCAACCCGCCCCGCCATCCCGCGCGTATTGTCCCCGACCCTCAACAGGCGGGCGCACTACCACCAACTACTCGGCGATCTAGCAACAATCGCGCCTGTGCTCTCGACCGGCAAGAGACCCTCCACTGCCTCGACGTGCCGCCTCGCCCCGGACCCGGACCGACGCTCTTTGCCTCACCCAACCCGAGCTACCCTGCTTACACCTTAGGGCTCCGACGTCGTCCAGGCCTCGACTGTGCTTCGCTCACGTGTCTTGTTGGGCCAGATGCTCACGGACAGTCACTCCGCGAGCTGCCGTCTCATCCTCTCTCACTCTCGAAGTTGTCATTCTTGAAGCTTTCCATTCTCTCTCGTGCAAGGGACTCTCAGCGATACCGTCTTGCCCGTCTCGGCGCGCTTGCCACTCTCTTCACGTGGCTCCGGCCGACTTCCCCACACACACACCCTCGTCCCGAACTGTGGCGGCCTTTGGCAGCGCCCCCGTTTTCTCTTGGATCGGGCAATCATCAATTTGACCTAGGATTGAGGAGGAAAACCCAACAGCCAGGTGTTGGCGAGTCACGATAACGGGCTCCCTTGGCCGCTCGTTGAGAAGATATCGAGGAGCTTGTTGGACAGCGTCCGAAGCCCCCGGTTGGTTCTGCCGAAAACAAAAAACCACACCTGTCGGGTCGACTGCGTTCCTGTTTCTCCTGAGCGCGCGTCTCCCTGCTCGAACCGTCATTGTCGCCTCCCCGCAGTAGTACAAAAGTAACCCTACCGGGGGCAAAACGGGCATCTTAAGGCATTTACAGACTACCGCACAGCATTGGCCCTCACAACTCATAACCGTCCCTTCGCGTTGAATTGCATCTTGCAACGCCCCGAGGACGAAAGCGTGGCCCTGCAAGCCTTCCAAGGACCGGAACCCAACCCTGGCGCGCTTCCTAGACTACCCACTTCTGGCTGTTCATCCCACTTCCCACATCCACTTCGGGCCTGCCATCTCGATCGCCTCGTGCCAGGCTCTGGACAACCATCACGCCCCCCAAGGCCTAGACCTTGGCCAGGAAGCCCTCAAGGGCCCCAAGGACCAGCGCGGCCTTGCCCTCGACGTCAAGATCGATCTTTCTTGTACCAAGTACGGCTGCCTCGCGTCATCGCCTGCTGCGCCGTCTGGGCCCTGCGACGGAGACCCCTGGCCACGGCGACGCGAGCCCCCCCGTCCCAGAATATTCTACTTGTCTACTGAGACTGGACTGACTCCTCTGCCCCATATCCTGTTCTTGGCCGACACCCCCGGTACCCGACTTGATGCAGCCGCCGGACGAGACTGGTACATGCCACTCCCGCTCTTCTGGCCCTTCTCCCTCCATACCCTCTTCCTCATCTGTCTCAACAAAGTCCCACGACGCGGCCACGTTTTCTCGCAGCCTCCGTTGCTCTGTCCCGGAGCCCGAGGTTTCATTCTCGTCCTCCGCTGCGTACGATTCCGCCGCCCAAGTGCCGGGGAGTTGTCAGGGCCGCCGGGTAAACCGCACGCCCTATTCCAGCAACTTTGCCGAGCCATGGGTGCATGCGACTGATTTGCCCGGACAATCTGGTCCGTCAACAAACTCGCCAGCTCACCTTTCAACCGCAATCGCCTCATCTTGGCCGCCGAGAGGCGCGGTCCCCCCTCGTGCGCGCGATCTATACGATCCGGCCCGTCGTCCAGAACAGCCGCGCCCCATCGCCAACCACACCCAGTCCGCCAAACGCACCTCACAGCAAGCGGGCAGGATAGCCGACTACGCGATGGACCAAGCCCCCATCAAGAAAGCTCGGATAGGGTCTTCGCCTCCAAGGAACTTCGACATACCGCCCGCGGCGACCGGGCCTCCTCCGCCACCTTCGCGGCTGCACCGCGAGGGGTCTTTCTCGCCATTGTTCTTCTCGCACGCCCCTTCGAGGCATCTGGGTCGTCCTCACAGTGCTACCGCGTCCGAGATCGCCGCCACCATGATGCTACGCGATCGTGGTGATCCGACGGGCGGGGTGACGACGGTCAAGCTGCCGAGAGCCAGCGTCAGCGCCGCGAGTCCGGCGTTGTCGGGCAGCACCCCAGGAAGCCTGAGCTCGTCCATCGACATGTCAATGCCTTCTACAAGCACGGACACAAGAAATGTACCGTCGAACCTGCAGTCGGTCCAGGCGATGGGCGCACTCGAGCTTATCGAGCATGATGAGCGCCCCACGTTTCTCGTCGATTTAGCCAACCCAGCCAACGTCAACAAACCTAGCATCAACATACTGTACATCAACAGCTCTCTGAGAACATGCCCAGAAATATGCAACCTGGTCGCCGTCGACCCCGAAGGCCCAATCTTGGACGACAATTTCGATCGCTTCCGAGCCTGGGTATACGCCACCTCCAAGAGCAGCGGCGATGGTCTCTACCTGTCTCTGCCCTATCACGAGTACGGCGGCATAACTTGGACATCCACAACGCTGCGGCAACGCTTCCGCTTTGTCAGCGGCAACGTTACGCCTGTCGCTACCCGACAAGCCTCTCCGATGCCTCTCACGGAGGAGCCTCTCCCGATGGACGCCGAAGCCTCTGCAGCTGCTCCCTCGATTCCAGTCTCGCCAATGGGAGACGCGGTTGATCCTCCTGATTACTTCGGCGATGCTGCTCCCGAGCCAACGGGAGGAAACAGAGCAAGCCTTGGCGCGATACAGAGCAAGCTTGACAACCAATCCGGTCCAGTTCACCCGGACGCCTTCACGAACGAGGTACTCCAGGTCCAGCCCAACAAAGTTCTCTTCGACTGGACGAGGGTTCCCATTACGGACAACTTGGCCGAGCACATCAAGTTCGCCAAGTCGGTGGACTGGGCTGCTACACCACTTGGCCCCATGTCAGAATGGGCGTATGATTTGCGAGCCATGTCCAACCTGGTTATGGGCAGCCCGCATCCGGCCGCTATGTATTGGGGCCCCGACCTGGTCTGTATTTATAATGAGGCCTACGTCGAACTTGCTGGCGGCAAGCACCCACAGCTCATGGGAATGAGATACATCGACGCTTGGTCCGAGATCTGGTCGGAGATCGAGCCAATCTTCAAGAGCGCTTTGGAATCGGGGCAGGCGACCATGAAGCACGATAATCACCTCTTCATCCGGCGTGATGGATTCCTGGAGGAAACATTCTTCTCTTGGGCCATTGTGCCGCTGGTCGGTGTCGATGGCGAGGTGGTTGGCTTGTACAACCCTGCGTTTGAAAACACGCTCCGCAGGGTCAACGACAGGCGAATGCTCACCTTGCGAGAGATCGGCGAAAGGACAGCCTCGGCGACAACTGTCAGTGGGTTCTGGCCCCAAGTGCAAAAGGGTTTGGAGTACAACGACTATGATGTGCCATTCAGCTTGATTTACTCCGTCAAGGAGGACACTGAGAGCGATGTCTCGTCACTGCACTCTGGAAGCCTCATTCACTCCCCGCAAGTAATCCTCGAGGGCTCTCCCGGCGTTCCAGAGGGCCATCCCGCAGCGCCAGCGCAACTTGACTTGAGGTCGTCCGAAGAAGGCTTTGCCCCATACATGAGACAATGCATGGCGGGAGGTGGCGCGCCCGTGGTCCTGTCAGAGAGCGATGGAACTCTGCCCACTGATCTTCTGCAAGGGGTCAATTGGAGAGGTTTTGGCGATCCATGCTCGACCATCGTCGTCTTTCCGGTGGTGCCAACCACTACCAAGGAGGCCGTCACCGGGTTTATCGTCCTCGGCGTGAATCCTAGACGGCCGTACAACGACAACTACAAGCTCTTCATTCATCTACTCTCTCGTCAGCTGGCAACATCTATGGCGTCCGTGGTGCTGTTCGAGGAAGAGATTCGACGGGGTCAGCGTGCAGCTCGGCTGGCCGCTCTGGATCGCCAAGAGCTTTCGATGCAGCTACACCTGCGTACGCAAGAGGCCAACGAGAGCGAGTACAGGTTCACGCGCATGGCAGAGTACGCGCCGGTTGGAATGTTCATCGCTGACGCCCAAGGGCATATCGACTACTGTAACGATATGTGGTGGCAGATCTCAAGACACTCTCGCTACGATGAGACCGAGCTGGCGTGGATGAACAGCGTGCGAGAAGAGGACAGACCCTCGTTGGAGACTGCTTGGAAGAAGCTTCTCGAAGAGCGAGTTACGATTTCGGTCGAGTTCCGTTTCAAGCACAGCCAGCAGAACGGCGACCATACCATTGATACGTGGGTTCTCATGAGCGCCTTTCCTGAGAAAGCCCTCGACGGAAGCCTTAAATCTATCTTCGGATGCATCACGGACATTTCGTCGCAGAAATGGGCAGAAAAGGTTCAAAATGAACGTCGAGAGGAGGCTGTCGAAATGAAGCGCCAGCAGGAGAACTTTATCGACATCACTAGCCACGAGATGCGCAACCCTCTTTCTGCGATTCTCCAATGTGCGGACCAAATCGCCAACAACATTTCAACCTTCACATCGCACAAGGTAAAGGAGCAAGTGGAGAAGCTCCTGGAAAACTGTTTGGACGCGGCCAATACCATCAACCTCTGCGCGAGCCATCAGAAGCGCATTGTCGACGATATCCTTACACTGTCCAAGCTCGATTCGAACCTCCTCGCCGTTACTCCTGTCGACGAACAGCCCATCAAGGTGGTAGAACGGGCGCTGAAGATGTTTGAGTCGGAGCTGCTGGCTCACGACATTGAGCTCGAGTTTCAAGTGGATTCAAGTTTCGAGAAACACGGCGTTGAATGGGCCAAGTTGGATCCGTCTCGGTTGCGGCAAATTTTCATCAACCTCATGACCAATGCAATCAAGTTCACCCAAGGACGAGAGCGACGAATCATTAGGGTATCGATGAGTGCATCGAAGGATATCAGCGAGATCACTAGCAAAGGCGTGCATTATCTGGACAGGAACGACATCCAGAGGACCGCGGGGATGGACATTGATGAAGAGGAATGGGGGAAAGGCGAGCGGATCAACATCCACTGCGCTGTGGAGGACACCGGACCCGGCCTTCGCGAGGATGAGCTGAAGCTCTTGTTCCAGCGTTTCCAACAGGCGACACCGCGGACGCACGTGCAATACGGTGGCTCTGGCCTTGGCCTGTTCATCTCGAGGATCCTGACTGAAATGCAAGGAGGACAGATTGGCGTGACGTCGTCCAAGGGCGTGGGGAGCAAGTTCAACTTCTACATACAGAGCCGGAAGAGTCTGAACCCGCCATCTGGCTTCGAACCGGTTTCTGCCTTCAAGATCGGACGCAAGGTGCAGGCACCGGCGGCTGCAACCCCTCAACTCAAGGACACGCCAGCCAGCACCCCAGCACGCGGGACCACTTGCTCGGAAGGCCGACCACTCTTCGACGTTCTCATCGTCGAAGACAACATTGTGAATCAAAAGGTCTTGCAACGGCAGCTGCGCAACTGCGGCAACAACACTTTTGTCGCCAATCACGGCCGCGAAGCACTCGACACCCTACAGAAGTCCAGATTCTGGGCCGGCCAGGAAGACGAAGGCGTCGACATCTCTGTCATCCTGATGGATCTCGAGATGCCAGTCATGGACGGCATGACGTGTGCGAGGAAGATTCGGGAACTCGAGAAGGAAGGTACCATTGTTCGGCATATACCCATCATTGCGGTCACAGCCTACGCGCGCCCAGAGCAAATTGAGAATGCCAAGGCCGCGGGCATTGTACGTCAACCTCCCTTTCTGCTCTCTTCCGGCCCTGCCGCTAACATATCCTGCAGGACGACGTCATTTCCAAGCCGTTCCGCATACCAGAACTGATGCCCAGAATCGAGGAGCTGGTCGGCAAGTACGAGAATCTCTCAGTATCGTCTGAGTCCTGAGAAAAAGCGGATATACCAGATGCATCAGGGAGGGCGCGCAATTTGCGAGTCCCGGCGCAGCACATTCAGCACCACGTCCATTTCGCCACGCCCGGTTGGGTCGCGGCTTCTAATACTCGCATATTGATTTATCTGCACATGTTGAGCCATATACAGCATACGACGTTGGCAAGCGATCGGCGTTCCGGGAGAGCATGGTCTCATGACACAAAAACGGGGTTTGGGCAACCATGGCAGCAGCGCCGGGTTTAAAGCGAGGGTCAGCTGCCGGCCGATATTTCGGTTTCGGGGTTTAATGCATCATCGCTACCGAGTACACGCACGAGCGGAGACGGGGTTTTATTTACTTTGCATTAGACTTTGCTGGGCGAGTCGGAAATCCCGCCTTAGCATCCTGCGGCACGGGTGTTTCGCGAGATGGGATGAGCGAGGGCAGGACGATGGAGGATACAAGTACGAGGCACACACACATACACACACGAGATGCACTGCCGGCTGCCAGGGGGCCACGCACATGACGGCCAGCCGGACGGGGGGAAATATACAAACACCATACACGACATGCCTACCTGTTCTGTGCCAAGACGCGTGTGCCCGTGTTGGCCAGCGCACTTCGAGGTATTACTGACCTCCGTAAAGCCCCGCCGTGACGACCAAACAGGGGAGAGATGCAGTCCTTTATTCCCTCCGCCCCGTGTCTCAGCAATCGTCCATGCCGGAGCATCACCACCACCCACGCCCGTCGACCAGCCATCCCTGCCGTGCTAATCCTGCCCACGCACGACTCCGTACTACAAAGATGGGATGGACACGCTGTTATTGGATTGCCGTGATGCCGCGGTCCAAGCAATTTACTCCGTACTCACATCCCCGACGTCGAGTGGAGCGACGTGGAGCTTGCCAACGTGCGTCGTAAGAGCTTGCGAGGAGGCATAAAAAAGCCGTGCAGGGTAGTTGGCCAATTGCCGCGGCGGGTGAGCGGCATACCCACGTACTGTTAGGCGGCTCTGCTCACCAGGACCAAGGCACGGCCGGCGCATAGAATCTGAGACATGACGGCAAAGTCAGACCGATCATTTAGCACGGGCAGGTTGGACAATAAGAGCAGACCGATGAAACACACAGCAATTGTATTATTAGTTATTACTATCGCATCCTCCCCGGGTATCGAACAACAGCCGATGCGGTATACTGGCAACTAAAGACTGTTCCAGAGGCCATGGCCCCCTCCCCCCTTTTTTTGTGTGATTTTCGCAACCTCTTTTTTGTTGGCTGTTGCCATAACGACAGAAGCAGTATTGGAAATTGGTATCAGTGAAAGCAGTCTCGACAGGGTATCTTGGTATCTTGTGAAGAAATGCAGACCATCCTTCCGTTCCGTACCCTTTCATGCGTGCGGTCCTCTTTTTGTAGTCGTGTTCCTCAAGTCGTAGCAGCTTCACAAGTTGCCGGCCCTCTAGGCGGCAGCGGTGACAGCAGGAGTAGACGAGGCGACGTTCTCGGGCTTGTTCTCAGCCTCGGGCTCGGCAGCCTTGGAGGCCTCGGCGACGGGGGCCTCCTCCTTGGCAACCTCGTCGGCGGCGGCCTCCTTGGCGGGCTCCTCAGTGGTGACATCCTTGGCGGCTTCCTCGGCGGGCTTCTCCTCGGCCTTGGCGGCGCCCTTGCCCTTGATAGTAGCACGGAGCTTGGAGAACGCGCTCTTGCCGGTCTTCTCCTCGCCGTCGACGGGAGAGGGCGACTTCTCGCGCTTGCCGAAGGCGAAGGGCAGAGACGACTTGCGCTTCTCCTTGACCTCCTTCTTGGCCTCACCGTTAGTGGCGGGGGCCTCGACGGTCTCGGTGGGGACCGTGGCGGGGTTCGAGACGTCCACAGCCAGAGGGGTCGTCGACTCAACGGGAGGGATGACGGGGGCGGTGGCATCGGTGGCGGGAGCGTCACCCTCCTTGGGGGCCTCGGTGGCCTCCTCGGCGGGCTTGGCCGACTCAGCAGGCTTCTTCTCCTTCTTGGAGAAGACATTGCCGAAGAAGCTGTTGCGCTTGGAAGGAGCGGGCTTCTCCTTGGGGCTCTCAGCGGGGGCAGCCTCCTCGGCGGGCTTGTCCTCGACGGCCGCAGTCTCAGCGGCGGGGGCAGGAGTCTCCTCGACCTTGGGAGCCTCATCCTCGGGGGCAGTCTCAGCGGCGACGGGGGCGTCCTCCGCCTTGGTCTCCTCCTTCTTCTCCTCCTTCTTGCCGAAGCCGAAGAAAGAAGTGCGCTTGCGGCTAGCGGAGCGGCGCTTGGGCTCCTCCTCCTTGGACTCCTCCTTGGGGGCAGCCTCGCCCTCCTTGGGAGACTCCTCGGCCTTGGCCTCCTCAGCCTTGGCGGGCTCCTCAGCGGGGGCAGCCTCCTTGGCAACGACGGGAGCGGGCTTGAAGCTCTCGACGGTCTTCTTGAAGGCGTCGGACTCGGTGACAGTGGCGGCGAGCTCCTTGGCCTCGGCGATCTTGAGCTTCAGCTGGGCGACCCAGCCGTCACGCTCAGTGGCAGAGGCGGCCTTGAAGCTGTGCTTGTTGCCCTTGGAAGTGAAGTGAAACTTGTTGGTGCCATCGACCTCGGGCTCGCTGGCATCGGCCTATGAATCAATGAGTTAGCAACGGTGGTGAGCGTATCGAACAGACTACTGGGGCCTGCTCGACAATGGAGCTCTTACCAGGTTGATGACGCTGTGGGGGGCCTTCTTGTCGCCGACGAAGAGAAGGCCCAGTCCGGTGTGGGAAGCCCAGGCAATGTTGTGGTGAGCCGTCTCGGTCGACTTCTCGGTCTTCTGGTAGTGGGCCAGAGACTTGGGCTCGACGGCGTCGGAGCCGAAGAAGAAGAACTCCTTGCTGGCGATCAGGTTCCTGGGTCGACGCGGTTAGCTCGATGTTCGGCGTGTTGCGTGCATGAAAGACCCCGAGAACTGTGCCTGGCGAGCACCAGATGCCGGCGAGAGCACGTTGACATGGGGTTTGGGCCGTGACTCACTTGGGGAAGCTGGCGCCCTGGGCCTTGTGGCCCAGGTGGCCCTCCTCGACGGGCTTGACCTCATCCTTCTTGTCGTCCGTCTTGGGGGCCACGGCGGCCTCGGCGGGCGTAGCCTCGACCGTCGTCTCGGTGGCGGCGGGGGCAGCCGTCTCGGCAGCGGCAGCGGTGGTGGGCTCCACGACGGCGGGAGTCGTCTCCTCCTTGGGGACCGCGGGGAGGTCGACGACGGGCTTCTGTTCCTCGGCCATTCTGGATACGAAAAAAGAGGAGGGGGTATCTCAAGTTGGGGGTATCACAGCAAACAAAGACGAGATGGTATAAAAAAGGAAAAAGGGGAGGGGAGGTCCAGAAGGCGTGGAAGCTTGGGATGGGTACAGACAAAGCTGGTGGTGAGAGGAAGAGGAGGAAGAAGGAGGGCAGCGGGCGGAAGGGGACGCTGGGTACTTATTTGGCTGAGCAGGTGGACGGGCGAGAACAAGCAGGGTAGGGCAGGGTCGGCCAGCCAGGGCGGGCGGACGGGAGGAGGAGCGGGAGGAGCAGAACGGACCAGGAGCCCGAACCGGGAGCTGCTGGCTGGGGTGGGATGGGGAGCGTGAGAGAGAGAGAGAGAGGGAGGCCAGGCCAGACCAGCCATCCATCCATCCACCATCTGCGAGAGCAGGTACGTACGGAGCAGCTCTCCATGCTGGCCGAGCGGAAGCAGCAGCCAGCAGCCAGCAGCCAGCAACGGGCAGCAGAGGAGGCGGAGGGGGGTGCGAGTACTAACGGTTTGTGACGCTCGAGCAGGCCATGCCAGGCCAGGCCAGGCCAAGCCAGGGCAGGGCAGCCATCATCTTGACCCCCTCCATTCATTCATTCATCCCATCCCCATCCCATGCGGACAGACCATTCATCAGCGCGGCGTGGGCCAAAGGGGGCGCCTTGCGGCGACGGTTGCCCGGCCCTGAGCCCGGACCCAGGCAAGCATGCCTGCTCGCGCTGGTGCAGCCGAAGGTAGCTCGTGCGCCTCTCACTCGTCGTCCGGCTCTGCCTGAGCTGGCCGGCCCTGCAAGGTTTCAACCCAGCTGCCAGATGGCTTGTTTGCTTGCCTGCCTGCTTCGCCTCATTACCGACATCGCTGGATGGCGGCGCGGGCGGGCGGCAATGTTAAGGGTAATGGGTAAGTAATGTCGCGGTACCTTGGCTTGCCTGCCTGCCTGATGGACTGGCTGCAGCCGACTGCCGTCTGGCCCCATGTGGTCAAGAAATAAAAAATAAAAAAGTACGAGTACGAAGGGACTCCCTCCCCTGGCCACCTTGTTTGCCGGCATAAAAAGTCGAGGTACTTCGTACCTACCTTGGCTGCTACCTACAGAAGGTGCTGCAAGTCCCTTGAGTGAGCGAGTCCCTTGCGAGTGGGCCCTGGCCCCCCGACTGAGTCAACGGTGGGGGTGGGCATACCGCGCTACCATCGACCAGCTGCCAGCTAGGCGGTCATGGCGGTGGGTCTCGCCGCTGCCGCCGCCGCCCACGCCAGACGACGACCTGGACGACGCCCGTGATTCGGCCTGTGACTTCAGGTGCGCGCTGCGCGCCTGCCAAAGTTGCATTGCAAAGTTGCCCGCAGCTGCCTCATCAGGAGCCATGATGCAAAGGTGGCTGCGGTAACGCAAGGTACACGTACTTGTTACCTGACAGACGTAAGGGCTGCGCTGTGCGCGCTGATGCGAGCGAGCAACCTGGAAGCGCCATCGCAACGCGCGTGCGTGCGTCTTTCCGGGCACGTAAAATGTACCTTGGCTCAGGTATGGGAGGGATGGGCGCCGCCTCAGGTGGTTGATCCGCTGGTCGGGCCCGAACCGCCCGGCCCTCATCGTCAGCGGGCTCCTGTTCTGTTCGCTGAATCGCGACATCAGGCACCGTGACCATCGCGCATCCATCCGACTCACTCCCTTGCGCTGTCCCGCTGCCCGTGCGAGGCGACCAACTTGGAATGCGCGGTAGCCTCCGCTGCAGGACCCGTCGCAGCATCCGTGGATGGCCTGACCGTCGAGGGAGCCAAGCCCTGTACGAGTCTCCCAGGCCCTGGCTGTCCCGTCATGTTGCCACCTCGTGCCGTCTCGTCGAGCGACTGATGGGCGAGTGCCGCCGTTGCACAACCAATCCGGCCCGGCAGAAGGGCAAACTGGGGAGTCATCTGCATCGCACGGCGGCCGTTTCGGGTGGGCTCACACCGCCGCCGCCGCGGGCATTGCCAGTGCTTCTCATCGTGGTCGCAGACGGGGACTCGGTGATGCTGCCGCTGATGCCGCCAATGCTGCTGCTGCTGCTTGATTCCGAAGTCAGATAGCCCCCCGAGTGCCTCCAGGATGCTGCGGCTGCTGCTGCTGCTTCGCGGGCGACAACACATCTCTCACACACACCATCATTAATGCCACACGACACACGCCCCTCCCCTTTCCCTCGTCGTCCATCCATCCGTCCATGGCGCCCCCTCCCCCCTTCGTTTTGCCTCCTGGGCTCTGAGCCCCCTCCTCATCACGCACCAGGCGCCGCCGTCGAATCATGCCGGTGCCCTCGTCGAACATGGCTTCGCACTGGCTCGCTGTTGGGTACCTCATGCCGCTCATGGGCTGCCATGCCAAGCGCCGGTATCTCGGAGGGGCCAGCCCTGGGCTGAGACTTGGTTTAGCTGCCGGGGTCCCAGCAACCTTGAACATCGTGGCCCGTGCAGGTGCAAGCGAAGTGGGACGAAATTGCAGACCCGCCCACCACCGACCTGCGCTACCGGTCGCCTGACAAAAAGGATGCGCCAGTGCTCGCCGGCTGAGGTCCATGGCGCCCGCCCGCGCCCTCCCTCCTCCCTTTCTCGTCACCCTCAACATGATGCCGTCGAGCCTGGTTTCGACGGCGTCACGGAGACGGGGCTGAATGGCGCCGGATTCTGCCGCGCAGTCACCGACATTGCGTACGTTTCATGCCACCTCCGGAGCAAATCCACGGAATAGTATATGGCAACCCAGATTCAGCGGAGCCGTGACCGCCCGCCCTCGTCGTCCATGCTCGTCGCCTCGTAGAACACCCATCCGCATTCCTTGCGCCGCTCTGCACGGCCACCCGACCCGAACACACCCTCCCCTCTCCTTCGTGCTTGTGCGTCGTAAAACACGGTGGCGGCCTCAGGGCATCGCTGTTCCGGGGCCCTGCCTTGGCGTCGGATAACAGCAATGTCCGTGCCTTCAGCTCGCCCTGCGCCGTCGCCGCGATCGACTCTCTGGTCCCGCGCGCACGGGTGTGCGGTCGGATCTGCCGTCAGGAGCGCATGGCGAGATTTTCATTTCATCTCGCAGCCGCGAGATCAGATTCGGGCAAGCCATCCAGTCTGTTGCTTGGCAACCCGGGTCCTCAGTCCTCGCCGCTCGTGCCGTCCTCGTTGCGCTCCCGTCTGGAGCGCCGACACAGCTCCTTGGTAACTTGCCTATTTTTGTCGACCGCCCGGCGACCCTTGACGTTGGCTCTAGCGTCGCAGAGACACCCCGGCGCGAAGTCCCGGCAGCGACATGCAGATTGTGGCCCCATCGCATTTCGACCCGGCGCTTGCCAGTGGATCGCCCATTTAAGTCGGATTGGAAACAAGGGAAGCAACAAGGCAAAGGGGGACAGAATTTTTACCGTGCAACAGACCGCCAGGAAAGGGGGCGCGCATCGTCATCGCGCTCGCGTGCGTGCCGCCATGCCACGCGCCGATGCAAAAGGAGCTCTCCGTCCTACCGTAGAGCTGGTTGACACTATCTGTCTGCTTGGCTTGACGAATTTGTGCCGGTGCGTCACGCGTCTGGCTGCAGCAGAAACGTCATAACCTTGCTGGGCAATCCGCACCCCCCATCGCCGTGTGGTGTGTGGGTGTGGCGGCCGCGGTTCCACACGAGCTTTGACAAGCTGCTGGCGTGACTGGCGCCTTGTCTCCAGCTGCAGGAGGGCGGACCGGAGGACGACGAGGGTCCTGCTATCAAACCGGTATCGACGAGTCGCCTGGCCGTGTGTAATTGCTTGGGCTCCCAGCGCTTCGTGTTCTTGACCTGGTTCGCCGTCGCTGGGCTCACACATAAGATGTCGTCCTGCCCTTCTCATTTCCACTTCACCAGGCGGCCGCATTTCGTCTCTGGCGTCTCTGGCCTGCGTCAGCGTCAACCGAGTGTCCACCATGGGGGGCTTCACTTCGGGTCGGACGTCGAGCAGCACCTTGGCTCATGGCGACGGCGCCACCACGCGCTCTCACGCAGACACAGCCCTTCCCCTCGCCGATCACACCCTCAGCACCAGCCAGAGGCTTGATTGCCCGCCAACCCACGAGCGCCCTGCTGGCAAACCACAGCCAAGCCCACCCGCATCGTCGTCACCGTCCATGTGACTCTCGCTGTGCTAGCGTCTCCAGGTCGTTATCCTGCCTGTCCCGTGTGGCAGTGGATCCCCCCCGGAACAAAAAAGCTGGAAGAGGGGGAGCAATGCGTTTGGGTCGAGACATGTCGTGCCTGGCCGAGACACACTGAACAAGGCCAGGCTCTCCGAAAGCCGCGGATGCCCGGAATTGCGACACTCTCCCTTTGACTGGTCACTCGACATCCAAGTTCCGTCGTGGCGATCGGCGGCACGAAACCAGAGGGTCAGCCCCTGCGGAGTCGCACTGGAGGCTTGCGACCCTCCTGCGAACTCCAATAGGTAATTCATGCACGATGTCGTGCTGATGCTGGTGTGCGTGCTGTGTGGGTGCAAAGCGTATTGCTGGTGGGACACCAGACGTCGCGACACCTTCATATCGCCGACACGACCCCAGGCACCATACGAGAACAAATGCACCATCGTGACTCTCACCGACAGATCCACATAGCCTGTTTGCTTAGAGTTGCGGATTCAAGCCTTTCTGGTGCAAGTGCCAGGCGCGGAGCTTGTGGATACCACCGTTGCGGCTAACCACCAGCGAAACCAGAAAAAAAGTGCATCCCTGGCCAGGCGACTGGGGTCGCGACCCGATGTTTACACTTGGTTGTCGTGCTGATCAAGCGCCCGACTGCTGGCCGTGAGTCTCTGAGCATTGAAAGATGCCCCGAGAAGTACTTGTTGCATCATGTGCCCAGTGGCATTCGTGCTCGCCGCGTAGATCCCGGGATGTCTCCAGAGCAGATGTGATTACGAGTACTCGTACTTGTAGAGTCGCGGCAGCAAAACAAACGTCGGTTTCGAAATTAGGACGCGCCAACCTGAAGACGGTTGGAAACAAAGCGCTTCGGATTTCATTAGCCGGCCCTCGTCGCCCAGGACGGCTGCTATGAAATTGGCGGACCGCGGTGCACCATGGACGGGGTTTCTTTGGATGGTCGGTAGCAGATGTCAGCTTTTGTGAAGCTGGCTCCCCATTGTTCCGGTGACCGTTCCTCTTTGCCCCTGCACCGCATTCGCTGCCATTGGCTAGGTAGTCGTATTGAAGGAAGGGCGCTCTCCAAACCATCGCCAATCGATTATTCGTGGGTAAGGTGCTGTTCGTCGCCGGAGGATTCTGGAACTACACACGGATAGATGGCCTGACATCGAGTGGTCGACGCTTGTTCCGCCGCCCGCCAACAGCGAAGGCTCCGTGCCACCCTCCTTTCTATGTCTAGCGCCGCATGTACGTCTTGTTCGACAGTATCGCGATCGCCAGCGGTGACCCGCCAAAAGAGGTGAATCAGAAGCCATTATGCCGTTGCCGGAGCCCTTGTGGCAACAACGATCGGGTGGGACCGGCCATACTCCGTACACGTACGTAGGCTGATAAATTGGAGAGGGATCAGCGGCCTTCGTACTTGGCGGCAAACGACTTCGCCGGCAAATGATCCCAACGTACTCCAAACCAGCTTTCTGAAGCCGTGTTGGACGAGTGATGTTCAGTGACACTGGTTCTGTGCCTGGCCATCGTCAGCGGGGAGAACCCACCGGACGGTAGACTTGGCGCTGCCGACCCAGAGCAGAATATTGAGCGGTCGTCACGGCCGTTTCCCGAATCCGCTGCAGCGCCGCCGACACTGCTAGTGTCCGTGGATTTATCACTCCGGCACGCCGTACTAGCAATGCACCATGCCCTTCAACCCGATGTCGCTGGCCGTTCTCGGTAGCTAGGCAAGCCAAGGATGGCATTCGGCCCCGGGGGTGTGACCTCGACGTGCATTCCAAGCTTCTCGGCCGCCCAAGATGATTCGCTCGCCGTGCCACCAGACCTGCACAGGTTTGCAACCGCCGTTGTGGCCCGGAACTCGGCTTCCGTGCTTAAGAATTGTCTGCTCTGCTCGTATGTACGACGATCAGCGCTATTGGCTGGCAAAGTCTTGTGCCGGCCAGGATTGAGACTGGGCGAGGAGAGGGGTAATATCGGAGTGTCCCCATCGGGAGACAATGCTTCATCAGCCGAACGACAAGGCGTTCTGTGGCCTTGTATACGTGTGTAGCTTGTGGGATCGAGGGTCGCGTCGTTGGGGGTCGTCGTTGTTGCGAGACGGCTGGCGGACTAGTACCGTACGAGGGACGTTATGGACGAGGGGCGTTGCCAGCTTGTAGGCGCCGGGAAGGTGCGATGCGGTGCGATGTGTCGAGTGACTGCTTCGCTCTTTTGTCAGCAATGCCTTGCCTACCAGCTCAGGCACTTCGCCACAAAGCAGGCAAGTGCGCACCCGCAATCCAGAACGACAGCACCAACTGACTTGAGGTGTCCCAGACGGAGGTAAGCCTGTGCCTGATGGTCGTGTCGCTTCAGCCGCTGACTTTCCGTCGACCTCATGTAGATTCTGAGCTTCTCGCGACAGTGTGGGGGGTCCACGACTCGACGCCCTCGATGAGGCGCGACCCTGCTGTCGACTTTTAACCGCCATTCTCCTCGCTACCCAGTAGTTCTTGGGCCTCGACGTACCTGGCGCACCTGGAACCGTGGAGAGACGTTCTGTCAGGACGCGTCGGGCCGTAGACAGAGGGTTCGATTCTGGTCGACTCCAATGTCGTCGTGGTACGGACCAGTGACGATGTTGTTCGGAGGCGAGCTTGAGGCGACCATGGCAATATTTGCAGCGTAATGCACTTTCTGCTCGGATTTGCACGGGGTGCTTTGGGTTGCCCATCGGCGTTGCTACAGCTCCAGAGGTTGTGTTCTAGGGGATGGGGTTCGTCGGCTTTGGGGCCTGCGTAGCCTCCGCAGCACAATGTTTGCCGCCATCGACGTGGGCTGACCTACGCTCAACACCATTAAACGCGGTGAAAACGATGGAACCCAGAAGGCTATAAGATATAGCAGGAGCGTGCTTTGCTGCGGTATCTCCTTGAGCACTCTGGCCATGTCGACTCGAGACGTCCTGGCATCGTTCGCTGGATATCGCGTTTTGGGCAACAGCTAGGGGCAAATGATCCTCGGGCTTAAACGCATGGCTTCATGATGCTTTGAATTGATGCTGAGAGGCTTGAGCCAGTGCGGGAGCTGCCCTGTCGGCCCTCACTGAACACGATTCCGCCTACAGTCCCCCCCGACACAGCACCAGGGGGCAACACCACACGGCGCACTGAACAGTGCACCCTAGCTGCTAGGGGCACCTTCCATCGCCAGGAATACCGTGCGTAGCAAACTAGAGATGAAAGAAAGCTACGAGAAGCGTGCTTTCGAGCTGCTACGCGGTTCAGCGGTTCACGTGCACCGCCCCAACAGATGTTAGCGGTGACCGCCCGGTTGCTTCGCAGAGGTACCATAGAAGGCCACTACCTAGCTATCTGTGCAATCCTCACGGTGCTCAATGATCGCGAATTCAGAGTATCTCAAGGCTTGATTGATGGGCTGGCATCGATAAAGTCAACGCCTGGTACCGTAGCTCAAGCGTGCTCGTGGCCGGGGCAGATACGCCGTCG